GATCATACCTTACGCACGATAAAAGTAGCAAAGAAAGTGAAGTTTACCAAAAACATTTCGAAGCCTCCCTCTCATTAGATGTAGTGCACTTCACACACATGAAAATGACTTTACTTAGTGCGCCTTACATCCTAGGACTCTTAAACCTAATGCTCTAATACCAAGTTTGTCACACCCCGAGGCTACCCCCTGGACATAAACACGGGACCTAGGATCACGAGTGACCCCAAGTTAATTGTGAGCTGGCATATCATAAGCATACTAAAAGATCACTGAATAAATATACTATGCGGAAGCTAAAACAGTGATAACTAAAAGTGGGGAATACCCAATACTGATCTGAATATATAAAAGACTATGAGTTTAATAACAACTTGAGGATCAAACTCAAAACTAAAACTGAATCTAGTACTATGTCTGAAAAATCCTCTAACTGACTAAATTTGCTGGGACATGCCCCTAACTAACTCTAGCAAAACTGAAAACTTAATAAAAAGACTAAAGTGTAAAGCATGCCTATTATCCTCGAAATATAAGGACTCACCACTGAAGCTGCTAAACTGGAGATCAAGAACTGATCTATGCGTGTTCTGGATGTTGAGTACCTAAACCTACATCATGAAAGGATGTAGCGCAGAGTACGCGTCAGTACTTGGAATGTACTAAGCATGCATGATATAGAGTATAGCTGAATAAAATACATACGTGAACAAATCATACTGAGTAATAACATAATCTAAACTGAATGTAAATGCTGAAATATACTGAAGGCTAAGTTAAATGTAATGACCAAGTAATACTGAGACTGAATTCTGAAATATAACTTAAGACCTGGTCAAATGCACTGAAGTCTGACTATGTGAGCTACTATTAACTGACATAAAACCACGTGAGCTAAGTGTGGAGTCCGATGTATAAGCCCCATCGAGAGGACTCAATATACCTTACAAGGGGTATAAAGGCATGACTGTTCGATGTGTACGCCCCATCAATATGACCCAATATAACTTGCCAGGGGTATAAATACATGAATAGCGTGATCACTAAAGCTGATGCCCAATAGAGGGGACTGATAAACTTATAGGGGCACATAGGTTTGGGACTATGAGAGTACGCTGAACCCTAGTCCAACTCTGTCTAAGCCTACTCCCAACTATAATGTATATGACAAAACAAAACTGAAATACTAGTTAGCTCAATGTTCTGACATGCAAATTTAAGAATGCAACATTGAAATACCGACAATGAAACATTCTTAACTGGAATATGTATATCTATTTAAACTGACCTAGAAAGTGTTCTTCATAAACTAAACAAATCTACACAACTAGGGTTCTGAGTTTCATGCAAGGAACTAAACAATGATTCCACATAAACATGATAATCTGATTAGGAATACTCTAACAGCTAAATCACAACTAATATCTAAGGTTTTAGAAACCCTAGGTCTAAACAAGATATAGGAATCAAGATTTTGATTGAATTCTAGGGACCTAGTGGATGAAGGGAATTCACCAGTGAAATCCCACATACCTGGTGACAAAATCTACGGATAAATCCTTTGATTTTGGGTCTGAAACTTTGAAGAACATTGCTGCTTGTTCCTGGTAGTTTTAGTTGACTTTTCCTTTTCTTTTTGCCCCAAGTTTGGATGATTTTAGGTGAATGAGTGTTCTGGGTAAGTCTGACAAAGTTGTTAGGCTTAGACTGTGTAAAATGACAAAGTTTAAGTGCCCAACGCATGGGAAAAAGACCTAAATGACCCTAACTTAAAAGCTGTCAAAGGCCACCCACGCAGGGACCTTCTGGCCGTAGGTCGACCCACCAACCGTAGGTGGGGTCGTCAGTCAAGTCTACCTAACAGGTCTTCACTAAAATGAGCATATTTTTTTACTCGGAGATGGGATTTTAGCAAACTTGGTGGCGTTGAATAGATGATTCAATTATCTATTATTTGTTAGGTGATGGGCTACCTAATTCCTTTTGTGCTAAGGTTTATGACCATTTGAAGTTGATCCAACATCAATTTCCCTCTAACTGGCAGCTAACCTTCACCTACGGTCCGTAGGTCCAACCACGGACCATACTGGTCGACCGTGGGTGGGATCAGAGACCATAAATATTTGGTCCTCAATAACGGACCCCACCTACGGACCGTGTGTCAGACCACGAACCTCAGTGGCTTCCATGGTTCTTGCACCAGGTCTTGAAAACTGCATTTTTTTCTATTTTTTCAAATCTAAGGTGTTACGTTCCCTTATCAAAATCCAAGGTGTTACACATGCTTCTTGTAAGTCTTTCTAACTGGGTTGGGAGTTGACTAGATATTGTGGTTATTTTTGATTTGAGGTTGATATTTACGATTTATGAATGTTATTTCTAGTTAGAGGCTGTTATTTCCACTTTGAGGTTGATGCTTCTGGCTCGTGGTTGTTACCTCTAGTTAGAGGCCATCACTTGGGCTTTGAGGCCTAGCATACACTTATTGGATCCGGATTGGAGGCACTTTACTGTCGTAGTCTTAGTTATTTTGTGTACCTATCAGGCTTATAAGGTCTGTTCGGGTTTTATTTAAACTTGTGCACGAGTCTACCTTATGGGATTATAGAGATCTAGTTAGGTTTAGTTTAGTTTTACTTATATTTTCTTTTGGTATGCGTGTATGCTCTCTTTCATATTCACTTCGACCTCTGTTTTTTTCTATATTCTATCTTTTCATATTGTTTGTACCTTTATTTCTTAGTCGACCTTTGATGCCTATTGAGTACCTTTATTTTGGTACTCATGCTACCATCTGCATCTGTTTCGTGATGCAAATCCTAGTACCAACTAGAAGTGGTGATTGTTCATGCCATATTTTACAGTTTTTAGGGATCGAAAATGAGGGTGAACACTTGGCGTTCTGGATCAACTTGTCTCCTTTTGTATATATGTCTAGCTATTTTATTTCTTTGAGATGACTTGTTGTGCTCCACTTTTGTGACTTCTATTATTCATATTAAACAACTTTGTACTTGTGATTTCTAGGTTTCTGGAGGGATTCTATTGTATATTGATTTTTTTTGCTTCCCCTTCTATCTCTTTTATTATCTAGTGTTGGTTCTGCTTAGTTCTACCATTGTACTCATTGCTAGTCGCTCTGAGTACGAGTTTGATTAACTACTGGTGGATTATAGTAGGTGTCATCATGACTTGAGGGATCGGATTAGATCCTGATAGTATTTTTCAGAACTTTTCTTAAACGTCACAATCATAAATAGGTCCAGACCTGGAATTCAGCTTCCAACCTTGAACAAAAGTATCAAGGAGTTTTTGTAGCATATTTTGATTGATAAGAACTCTACCTATTGTCCATTCAAGCACTTTATAATTGCACCATGTTATAGAACCAATGAAACCTATTTCATTAAGTTCACTGTATCTTGCGGTCAAGGAATGACTTGTTCTGTTTTCCATAAGATTATAAATACAATTAAATCCATCCATGACCATTCATCAATGTCGCGTGCTGATAGAATAATTTTCAATTCTCTTCACATAATATGGTTCTCTTATCTGGACTTTGCACTTGGCTTAAAATGTGGTAATGGTAACTCATCCCTAGTGTTAATCTCACAAGTGAGTTGTTGCCTAGAGTCAAAAATCACTAAAAAGACATCCAACCTTGAATGTAATGATTGGATTTTGACCACTTGATTTAGTCTTTACATAAAATCTAAATGGACAACTTATTGATAATAAAAGTAGTAATACATATGATGTTGCCAACATACAATTTATTTTGAACATTCTTATGTCCTTATTTTCATACTTAAACATATGTAGGACACCCTACATGCATTTAAGATTATGTCTTACATACTGAAATAGGTAAATTAAAAACTAAAATATCAAGAGTCTATGATCTATTGAATGGACCAAAGATAAAGAAACTAGGCAATTAAAAAGAGATTATTTGCCATTGATTGATCAATCTAAATTTCTGAATTCTTTCCCATTTAAAGCTTCATTGAGGAAAACATCATCCCATTCCCATGCATCATTCTCAAGTGTGTTTTCAACATGATATTCATTGTTTCCCATGGTATTCTCCTGGTCATTGTGATAAAATGTTTAAAGTGAGTATTTGTGTGAATAGTATGATAAAAATGAATTTATAAGCAAAAAAATAAAATTAATTACTCAATAATAATAAGAATAGAGCTTTGAACTAATAATAAGAATAGAGCTTTGAACTAACCTCCATGAAAGAGTTAAATCCATCAACATTAGCAGCTTTGACATCACTTTGAGCTGAAGAATGATCAGTTTGTTGAATGATGTGATTGTTGGTGTTGTTATTATGAAAGTTGTCATGCCCATTTGAACTAACCTCCATGAAATTGATAAATCCATTAACATTAGGAGCTATTGCATCACTTTGAACTGAAGAATAATCATTATGTTGAATGATGTGTTTGATGTTGTTGTTATTATTAAAGTTGTCATTCCAATTTGAATGGACATATTCCAACCATGATTGGAAGAGATTGTTCACTTGTGTACCCGTAGTGACGAGTGGACTCGAGTCAGGCCTGGAGATAGAAAGAGAAAGAGAGTGCGCGCTTAGCAATCATATAATGTTAAACAAGAAAATACCAAGATAAATAATAAAATATAATTCACTTGTCTCGTTTTTTAGGATTATTACTATTTTAGTAGTCTCCTATTTATAACAATATGTTCTCGTATAGAGTTTATAATTCTGATTTCATCATTCTTTTTAAATAGATAAAATATTATCTCTCAAACAATAATAGATTATCAAATCAAAGCTTATCGAAAGAAACCTTGTAGAAGCGCAAATATTTTGCCAGGAGTTCATAATAAAGTTGTCACTACTTTCACCAAAAGTCACTTGTGCCTGAAAATTATGTGACTTAACTAGTTTAGTACAAAGGATGGGAGAGAGGTGGGGGTAGGATTTAACAAGGAATAATATTTCAAGAATATTAATGTACCTATGATTTTTCAAATGTCTGTGTCGAATTCTGCTGGACATCTATCACCATGTTTTGTTGTTGGCCCTATTGTGCAAATAAAAATAATTGTATAAAAAAAATTTAAAATATAACTCGTTCTTTTTAAGAAGATCTTAGTTACTGCACGTTAAAATAGTGTTACCTGGAATGGGATATAATTAGGTGACGGGTCTTGAATTTGAGAAAATGATATATTTCTAAACCGTAAAGAACTTGCAAAGGAAGGGGTATATGTGTAATTGGTAAAATTGTTTGCTACTCTCTTTCCTTTGTCCATCCGATCTTGATATATGCTCCCTTGGATACTTAAACTATAATAATAACGAAATAATAAAACTAAACGAAAAAAAGAAGAGGGAATTTTTCGTAGAAAAATATCATATGAAAAAAATGACCTCTTTGGATTAATCCAACTATTAGTATCAAACTGCTGGAGAGTTGTTTGTTGGCCAGCAAATTGAACATCCATGTTTCCTTGTTTCTCCAATTCCATCTTATCAAAATTCATTTGACATTAATTAGGATTATACATGGTTTCTAAGAAAATAATTATTTTCTTAAAGATTGAGATTTCTCATTATTCTTCAATGATAAATCTAGAAAAAATTATTAGTGAAAGAACAAACTTTTTTAGCCATGATTTTTTGGAGAGATAGTTGCAAGTTCCTCTCACACCAAGAAAGTTGATGAAGAGAAGACTCTTGACCTGGTCCTGGTTCGTAATCCCTGCAGAAACATGTTGTTAGGTTGCATATATCGACGACGTCTTTAACTTGTTAGTATATTACATTTAGACAATTGAAATGGACTACTCCCTCCGTTTTACAAAGAATGACCTAGTTTGACTTGACACGGAATTTAAGAAAATAAAGAAGACTTTTGAATCTTGTGATCCTAAATTAAAGTTATGTCAAATGTACAAAATTGTCCTTTAATCTTGTGGCCTTTAACATGCCACGTTGAAATTTGAGATTAAAATGTTACAAAAAAAGAGAAAGAAATCATTCTTTTTGAAACAGATTAAAAAGAAAAGGAGGTCATTCTTTTTTAAACGGAGGGAGTTTAATCTAAATGTCTAAATGAATGTTGAAGGTAAAGTGGATATCTTCAGCCAAGATGTTAGAATTAAGAAGAACTAAAAAGGAAAACATATGTGCTACTAAATCAAATAACCTTATATTAGCATCCACAATCTGCAATTCCAATGTGCTCTTCTTGATTTGTAGCTCTAGATTCTGCATCAAAGAATTTCAAGTTAAAATGACATTATCAACTTTCCTCATTGGCTCTAATAATAATAATAATAATAATAATAATAATAATAATAATTAATACTTCTTTATTAAGCTAAGACTAATCTTATATTTTATTTCAATGTCTCACTTCATTAACAGTACACTAGCTAGACTAGAAAGGATAGATTGAAAAGAAAAAAAATGAATTATAATTCAATTTTAAACTTGTCAATAAGAGAGACATCAAATTAAGTTCTGCTCACCTTAATCCTGTAGAAATTCAGGCACCAGCAACAAACATCCAAAGGCAACCATCATAAAAGAGTTTAATTCATTAGTGAGAGTCAATTTTACTTGATACAAAATAAATCAAGTATGAGGTACTAGGTAATATTTAATACTTTGATAAATTAAAATTGTGTAACGCTTATATAACTCCATCCATGTGAGCTTGTTCACATTGTCGATCTCAAGATAAGATAATGGAGGAGGATTGCCGATTATAAATTAGAAACAACTTCATACACTATAAAAAATAGGAGTAAGGTTACATACATCTTATTCTACCACGACTCTACTTTTAGGATTACACTCATGAGTTTGATCTTGTTATTGTTGGTGCAATACTTATAGGTTAATGAACATTATACTAATGAATTAAAGCTAATGAACACTATACTAAAGAATTAGTTGCTCGTCTATACTTTTCCCTAGTCAGAAAAGATTTTTTTTAATTATGCTTTGTTTGACTGTCTAATCGCTTTTATTTATTATATTATATAAGCGTAAAATACAAAGTACTATTATTATTATTATTATTATTATTATTATTATTATTTAATAATAATAATAATAATAATAATAATAATAATATGGATATGATTTTTAAGTTTATAGGCTCGCCAATTTAATTTATCTATATATTTGTACTTAGTAGTCAAAGAATTTATAAGCTAAGTGTCTATGAATCAAAATCAGTCAAAAGTAATAAGTTTTCACCCATATTAATTTTAAAATTTTAATTTTAATAAGCACTTTTGATTTCAATAAGTATTTTATTCATTCTTCTGTAATAAATTTTCTAAATCTCAAAACATTCTTTTCAAAATTGAGCTCTTAATTCTCTCTTCATTTCATTTTTATCGTTTGTTAATCTCTTTATACATATATACTTTAAAATCTACAAATTTTGTAAATAACATTAAAGGAAATATAATTAGAGAGAACAATAAACTAAACAAAGGAAGAAGTGAGAAAGTGAAGAGATCCAAGCTGTTTAGCTTGCTGACATCTCCTCTGATGTGGTTCAATTGCCTTAGTTTTGTCACATTTTCCTTCATTTATATACCAAAAAAAAATTAATAAATTGTGAATAAAATTTATCCCAATAATTAAATTTTATTACAACTCTCTATCAATTATACACTTTTTGCCTTAAGTCAAACTTCTTGTCTTTAATGAATTAAAATTAGTTAATAATCATTTAATATTTCGTTAAATTTGAGGATGTCATTTTCTGAATCTTTTAATTATTACTCACTTTATTTTAATTTGTTTTTCTGATTTTTTCTTGATATAATTTAATATAGTAAGGAAGACTTTAAATCTTATGATCTTAAACTAAAGATAAGTAGAATGTATTAACATGTCATTTAATTTTGTGGTCATATATATGTTACATTGAAAATTGAAATTAAGGATTTGCCGAAAATGGATTTAAAAAATAATATTGATGAAGAAACTGAATGTCCTACATCAGTGAATAAATGAAATCCTAGTCTCCTTATTTGACTAGGTAATCCTCCCTATAAATTATCTTTAGGGTATGATTTACACCAAGATCTAATTAACTTTACATGTTATCAGAGTCAATCCTAATGTATGCCCTAGAAAACAGGACATTTGTGGAGTGGAAATCCTTTGATCCCAATCTGATGGTGGGGGTGATAAACGGAATTCCGGATAAAAATGTCAGAATAAGGGTGGGTGGAGGGGGTTAAATGGAATATTGGATAAAAAATGTATGAATCTAAATGGAGTGATGGTGGTGTGATAAATTAAATCTCGGATAAGGGATATCTAGATCTGGGCGTGAGGGGGTAGGAGAAGATAATCCTTATAAGGCTTAAGCAATCTTCCTCCTTTTAAGTTAGCTTTTTGTGTATGAGTTAAGTTCAAGACCTAACTTAATTTATTTATTTTAAAGAAATTAAAAATAATAAGACAAATAATTTAAAATGGAAAGAGTATTGATTTTCATTTCAAACTTTAGCTAGTTTCACATTCATTTAAAAATTAGACGAATTAATTCACATTAAGAGAAACAAGACATAATTTTAGAACATAAAAAATGCCTGCAAATACATATCGATAAGAAATAGGTACAAGCGTAAAGTACCTGAACATTGGCCATGTGAATAACCTCAACAAAAGAAAAAAAAAACTCATAAGTTAGTGCTACAGTATAAGTTACTAATAGCAAAGTTTATAGAAAAATTCAATTCAAGAAAATCTAGGAAAAGTTAATGTACGTCAATCTCCTTTCAACGGGAAGCTTAACATAGCGTTGAAGAATGTCTTCAATTCTACAAAAGTAAAAATTTAGTTCAGAAATCAATCAAGCTAATTGTTTTATAGATCGTAACAGAATATTCATACGATATATTTCAAAATTGTAAATGCAGAACCTATTTTGGCTACAGAATTTACTAAGTCGAGCAGCAGGCGAGAACGCGACAAACAACATGTCCACATCACAACAAATTGCAATCTCTGCTGCCTTCTTTAGTAAACTACTACGTCGCTTAGAAAATGTGACTTGACGTTTTGTCATTTCTTCTTTTTCTTCATCTCTATTTTTCTACCCATCTTGAAGATCTTTCAAGGGATTTCTTCTCTCCCTTGAAAGGAACAATAGCTTAGAGTGTTGTGTGAAGTGTATGAACAATGCAATGACCGGAAGAGAAAGCTCCAAAGAAGCTTATTTATAAGGTAAAAAAACGCTACAAGGGTCAAATAAGAAATAAATAAAAAGTTGGTCAACCTCATCCAAACATGGTCGTGTGAATTTGTTGGTCAACCCCATCCAAACATGGTCGTGTGACTTTGTTGGTCAACCTCATCCAAACATGGTCGTGTGACTTTATTATTAAATGCTAAATTATCATCATGAATTTGAGATTTAGATAATATTAGTTAAGTTTACACGTTTTGCACGTGTATATCACATTAATTAATAGTGTGTGTGTGTGTATATATATATATATATACATGGTCATGTGACTTTGTTGGTCAACCTCATCCAAACATGGTCGTGTGACTTTATTATTAAATGCTAAATTATCATCATGACTTTGAGATTCAGATAATATTAGTTAAGTTTACACGTTTTGCACGTGTATATCACATTAATTAATTGTGTGTGTGTATATATAACACATACTTCTATATTACCTTAAAAATATGAACTCCCTAACTTCAATGTTCAATTACTATATTACCCCAACTTAAAACACCTTATTAAGTATATATTTTATATTTTATATTATATTACATTTATTTATATAATAAGATATATTAAAATAATATATCTTTTCACATCGAAGGATTGTATCTTTTTAAAAGAGTTGTGACTTTTCGAAAGGATGTGACTTTTCCAAAAAATTATGACTTTTCCAATGAGTTGTAATCTTATCACAGGGTTATGACTTTTCTGAAGGATTTTGCCTTTTCTGATAAGGCATAATAACCACCTGTTTATACTACCTTTTTTGTCTTTAAATAGAGGGGTTCCCTCACATTTTTAAACTATATATTTCTTATGTTTTCCTCTTCTTTTTCCTCCTTCTCCTCGTCCTCGTCCTCCTTCTCCTCCTTCTCCTTCTCCTTCTCCTTCTCCCTCTCCCTCTGCTTCTCCTTCTTCTTCCTCTTTTCTTTCTCTTCCTCTTCATCTTCTTCTTCCTCTTCTTCTTCCTCTTCTTCTTCCTCCTTTTATTCTTCATCCTCGTCCTCCTCGTCCTCATCCTCGTCCTCCTCGTCTTCTTGTTGTTGATGTTGTTCTTCTTCTTACATCCAGTTTAGTAGATATTTTAGATTTCATATTATATTTAACAACTCGGAAACATCCTACTCCTCCTCCTCTTCCTCCTCCTCCTCCTCTTCTTCTTCTTCTTCCATCCAGTTTAGTAGATATTTTAGATTTCATATTATATTTAACAACTCGGAAATTGGAATGTTAAAAGAAAAGGGAATTTTTTTATTTTTGGCACTGAGA